TACATTGAGGAAAAAAAATTAACTTAAATGATTTTAGCAAATGGCTGCAATATAACAAAGGGTGAAAAATTGAAGGGGGTCTGAATACTTTCCGTACCCACTGTATATACTGTGTGTATATATATATATATATATATATGCTACATACATACACACAGTCTTTCCACTATCTTCTCTTTATGTCCGTGCTCTATAGATCTCATTTGTCTTGATCTGCTACCTGTCAGCGCTATATGTTTCATGCTTAGGTCAAGGTCCTCCATGCTCTTCTTCCATGCAGGATAAAGATTTCAGATGGAACTGTGGCTTGACAGTTAGTGGACATACTCCAGATATATTTTAAAGTATTTTTTTCTCAATTTTGCAGTGGATGCATGTTGCTAAGTTCATTTCCAGTATTTTTCAAAACATGACTTAATGTCATGAAACCATTAACGATTTATATTTTTCTTCCCCTTTAGCCCAATTAACCAGATGCATTGCAATGGACTAATTACATGTTCATCTACTTGTCCACTTAGTCTTTTTCCAACAACAAGCTATTATTAAAAACTGACTGGAATTTGGCAAAAGTTTCCTTAAAGACTGAACCTTCATTTAGAAACAAAATCTTGCACGTGATCTGTCACATTATCGCCCAATATAGAACTTCTTATTTTATCTCCAAGGTATTGGAGAGGGTTGTTGCTCAGCAACTGCACCTATTCCACAGGAACGACAAAGGTGGCTTCCTCCAGACATGATTTATACCTAATCACAGTACTGACACAGCACTAGCTTTAGTCAATGACTCATTATTGTCCTGACGGATCTCTTTGCCTCTAGATCTCAGTGCAATGTTCAAAACGTTGTCCTAACACTGTCTGGAAATTGATTCCCTATCTAAAATTAGCTTAACAGAAGTTTGGAAACTTTCTGAATGTTCAAGGCTTAATTATGGCATCCTTCGAAGTTCTGTTTTAGAAATATATTACTGATTTACTTGTATGTGCTATCACTTTGTAACATGGATATTTGCATGCATCGTATTAGATTTATTACTTTTATTAATAAGAAGATGAAATATGCATTTTTATCTGCTGCTAAGAATGGTCTAGATTTTATAAAAGCTTGTTTCTGCCATGGGATTAATAAAATAATTTTTAATAACTATATTAGATAACAAACGTAAAAATTATGGGATAAAAAGTCTCAATTACATTTTTATTTTATAATCTGTGGCACCAAAACAAAACAAAAAAACAAAACTGTGAGATGTAAACTCTGGACAGCGAGAGAAAATTGTGAGAATTGTGAGATAAAAAGTGGCAATTCCACGGGAGAAATGTGCTTCTATAAGATTTTTTATCTGATTGCTCTGATCGAATAAATTCAAGTTAATGTCATAGTTCTTGAAAAAAAAATGAAAAGTTGAACACATCAGCTCCATTTTCCTATTTAATTGAATTGATGACTTAATCTAGTCATTTGACAATGTACAGCATGTGCACAGATTCACAAATAGTTCTGAACGCTTACTCTTGTACTAATGAGGCAATGAAAGAGCAAGACCATTTACAATATAACTTACACATTGATTACCAATAATCCCTGCTTTTTACTAGCATGTTCATGTAAGGGAAAAAAATCTTTTGGGACGTTTAGATGATTGCGAGGGATAATGGTGAAAAGTGAGAAGGAAAAGATCAAACGTATTGACCATCAAACCATCAGGCATCTCTTTATGGGGAAACGTGATACACACATCTCCTGCCTCAGAGTGAACACACACGAGAAAAGCTTTATTTGTACTCCTCCCAACTGGGCTTGATAAAAATGTGCAGCATTAAGGGAATTTCACCGCCACGGTTATGTGCTTGATAATTACACTATTGCACACTGGTGCTGACCTCTCTGTATATCTGTGGAATCAACAGGGTTTCACATCAGCATGGCCATCGAGAATCAGTTGCCCCTGCTGTTATGTTTTCACTCTTGACTGTAATGAGACAATAAACATATTAATGACAATAAATTGATTTGGAATTGCCTTGTTTCAGGAATACACAGCATATTCCACAGCTATTTGTGTTAGCAGTGTGCACAAGATCGTTTTGACCTGGTGGATTTGCTCAGGGTCAAAAACACCATTGTTTCTCATTTGGCCTTGAAACCTTGTTAAAACTTTTCATGAATGTAACACTATCTCGTTATTATATTGTTTCAAATGACAAGGGTTGCAGTGTGGAGGCAATTTGCCCTTAAAGGAATAATTCAGCATTTTTTGGGTAAACTATTCCTTTAACCAGCCCATTAATATGATAAGTGGTTAATATTATAGGAACAAATAATATTATGCCAAACCAAACTGGTGCAGAGTAGTTGCACCAATGTAATGAAAAACCTGATTTCATCCATGTATAATGTTTTGTTGGATGTACTGGTGAAGATGAAGGTAAACGTATATATTTGTTTTTGTCTGCAAATATGCAATAACAGCTTATGTTTCAATGTACTTTTATCAATACTGTAGCATACTTTCATAGGGTCTGGCAGCTTTTTAATGAGTATGTCAGATTAAATCTGACACTCTCTAAACCTGATGCTCTGGAGTCTAACCTTTCAAGAGCAAAATTAAAATCCGTCCCATTGCTCATTAGGTATGTTAATACATGCAAACGAATGGATGCCATGTGTTTGACCCTACCAAGGACATTCTCTGTCCACATCTCAGAAAGGCTATCTGCTCATCTGCCTTTTCAGAACAATTCTATTCTTGATATAAATGTAGTAGAAATTAGAATTCTTACTGAAATTACACTAAATTCAATTCTGCAAACTAAATGCTCTATATGAGCTAACTGTCAATTATTTGTTCAATATCATCCTGCCGTTCATAGAAGAATATTAATATAAGGAGCCATTTTTATACCTGAGAATAATAGGGATATCTTATTCTCAGTGACATGCTCTGACATTTCATTATATCAGGTAGCTTACAAACTGAATAGTCTATATATTCATATGCAACTACACTGCCTGGTGTAGTAACAATTTTCACTCAGAAATATAATTACGAAGAAACAGCAAGTAAAGCATTAAATGAAATGTTGACATTTCCAAAATGCACTGAAATAGCATTTTCGTCTAAACTGTACTACAATTGGTAACACTTTATTTTAAGGTGTCCTTGTTACATGTTACATGTACTTACTATAATAATAATAATAAATGATGCATAATTACATGCAAGTAACCCTAAGCCAAACCCTAATCCTAACCCTAACCATAAGGTAAGTACATGTAGTTAATTAATATTACTCAGTACTTAAATGTATAATTACATTGTAACAAGGACACCTTAAAATAAAGTGTAACCCAATATTTTTTTGTTTACAACTTCAATAACTATTTTTTTTTACAGTGATACTGAAATAAGGTATTTTAAAAGAATACGATAAATGAATGAATGAATGTGTTATTTGTTTGTTGGCTTGCATATATGTATTTATTCATTTGTTTAAATTATTGTATCCCTTAAAGGGCCTCTCAAGCATTTTGATATACTGAAATGTCGTTTTTTTAGGAATGTTTTACATATCATGCATACAGAACATATTATTTTAATGTCAATTGATTATTCAATGCTATAGCTTTTAATAGTTAATTTACTTTTTGTATACAAATACTTTAATTATTTTTTTATTTCTCATATATCTTTACCTGGTAGGCAAATAACCCATCACCCTTTGCATTAAAAGAGATTTGGCTTATAGAGGGCATCTCAACCGTTTCATAGAGGCTCATAATAAAATGTGATATTTATAATGTTGTGTGTAATATTTTATACATTTGTGTGGGTGACACTGTTGTCCTTCCACTGTAAATAAAAAAATTGTTAATATTAATGATAATGCTAATTGTAGTAGGCCTATGATTTCTGGTTTGGTGTCGATGAAGTGGTGGTACTTGAGCCTACCTGTGAATATTGAATAAGTGACAGTCTGTGTGTGTGTTCAAGGGGGCGCTATTGCTCAGCTGATGATGCTGTGACTGAATGTGATGAAGCCCTGCAAAAAGTTTGAGCTGGTCTTGAAGAATAACCTCACACAAGCAGCATTTCATTTGTAAAAGTTTTAGACGTCAAGCAGCAGGCATTTTAAAAATTCAGCATTCACTCACACGTGTAGTTTGAAGTCCTTAAAATTGGATTTACATGCGGAAGAATGAGAAATATCAATATTTATATTTCCGCGCTGTGTGAAATGATTCCGCATCCCTCTGTCTCTCAGCACTGTGGAGCGTCTGTGCGCGCATTCAGGTGTTGACACAAACCTATAAGAGTCGGTGAGGAGGGAGAGGGTGTGTGTGTGTGTGTGTGTGTGTGTATATATGTATGAGAGAGGGAGGAAGAGAGAGTGAGAGAGAGAGAGACACGCGCTCTCTCCTAGTGCACTTTGCAGTAAGTTGCGGGCGGCTGTTGCTGGCGTGGCGGTTGCTGGTCGCGCAGGGAACTTTAACACGCTGGATCCCAAAGTCCGTCTCTCTCACCTGCGCAGTTCGGAGCTGCCATGGATTTCGCGGCCGGATTTACTATCCTAATCACACTGCCGACCTTTCTGCAGACGAACGGCCTTTATACCTCCAGTAGCATAGGTACGTGCGCCTGCCTTTACCTATTTACACTTCCATCCCATCGCAAGATGTCCTGCCCGGTACCACCCCAGTGCGCATCAGACCTGGATGTTTGCGCACTGTCCCCATCCCTGTGTGAGAGAAACTTGTGGCACGAGCTATTTCTGATCTTTTTGATTATTCTCTGGAGCTTTAGGAAACATAAACAGCCGTGGCATCCTCGTGCGCTGTGTCATTACTGTTTGTTGTGAAGTGTTTGTTTCACATGCTGCTGAAATTAATTCTAATAATAATAATTCTTAGCGCAGCTCTGGTGTAATGGAAATGTTTTGGGTGTTTTTTTCCCCTTCGCGTTTGCGATCTTTGACGGACGCTCTGGCGATATTGATCTGTCTGAGAGCGGAAGTATTGCAGGATATTGATTTTAAATAAAGAAATGTCCCCGTTCTGTTCTCCTCCTTTGAGAGCGTTTAAACAAAACGTGCGTTTTGCATAAAGAAACTAAAAAAACTAAAGCTCTGAAACTGAACTTTTGATTTTGGAAGAGAAAGATTTCAAGGTTACTTGTTTGTGCGACAACTTTAGGTTTGTTGGTGACTTGTAATGGTTATTTGTAAATTAGAGCTTGTAATATGCAGGAGTAAGTGCTCTCTTCAGAGATGCACATGCAAAGCTCAGCTTCACTTTGAACTGACATATCGGCTGTCTCTCAAAACATAGCGAGTTGTCTACCTAGACAGCATTGTTAGGCATCATAGGTGTTTGCAACATTTTTGATGGTCATAGATAATTGAAGCATTTTGAGAATAATTATTAGGCATCATAAGTGTGGGCATCTTTGGTGAGTGGAAGATTTTTGAGCATCATAGGTGTGTGCAGCATTTTTGTGCATCAGTTGCATATAGTATTATTGGCTATCATAGGTGTATGCAAACTGTTTGATCATTTTAAGTAAGTGAAGCATTTTCAAGCAGAATTTTTGTGCATCAGGTGCATGTGGCATATTTGGGCATCATAGGTGTGTGCAGCATTTTTATGCATCAGTTCCATGAAGTATTATTTGGTATAATGGGTGTGTGCAACATGAGCATCATAAGGAAAAGTAGCTTTTTGAGCTTCATTTTTAGGCATCATAGGTGTGTGCAGCATTTTTGGGAATCATAGATGAGTGGAGATTTTTTGTGCATCAGGTGCATAAAATATGATTGAGTATTACAGGTGCATGTGGCTCGTTTGTGTATCATAGGCTGGTGCAGAATGTTTGGTGAAACATAGGTGAGTGGAATATTTTGGGCGTTAAGGGTGCATGCAACATTTATAGGAATGCATGGAACATTTTTGGGCATCACAGGCGTGTTTGGATGAGTGCAATCTGACTCTGAATGTGCCTGTGATGCCTAAAATGCTGCCTTGGTAGGCTGCTCACTAGGTTTTGTGACACTCATGTAGGATGAGTGGTCTTCTTCTGAGATCATTTAAGTCAATTACTTTTGTTTTTCCCCTACGCGAGTCTGCTGTTGTGATTCTTCTTGATATATTTCAATATTGTAAATACATCTATCATGCATCTGGCTGTCATTGAAAACAACAAGGCATATTATGAATGATACATTTTATTTATCTTGGTATTTTGTGATGGGAGGCAGGCAGATGTACTATTACAGACACAGAGCAACACACTTTTCATACAGTCTGACACATTCTGTGCACAAACAGGCGTCGTTAAATCTGAAAATGATGATGTCAAACAAGTGTTAATGTGTTTCTTCACCCAAACCTGTCTGACCCATTGCTTCTCATGTGCATTTACTTGCTGCATGGAAAGGAATGTGCATTTTAAGTGTCAACATAAACACATCTAAATTAAAATTTAATCAGAAGAAACATTGTTTCTGCAAACCATTTCATGAAAGTCGCCATGCAGCCTAGTGACATTCATTATAGATGCTGATGTACTACAACCAATGTGTGCTGTCTGACTTACTATCTTTGTGTGTAACTCAATGCAGATTCCCTGCAGCATGTTCTGGGGGACTATGGACTGGTGAAGCCCGTTCTTACTGATGCAGAAGGCCGCTTCCTGTCCCATGCGGTATCGGTTGGTCCAGCAGATGGGCAGTTCCGTAGGCGCTGGAGAAGAGAGGCGGCATCGGCCGACCACGCCCACCATGAGTCCGGAGGAGGCACGCCAGAGCGACTCTACTACAATGTCACCGTCTTCGGCCGGGAGTTTCACCTGCGTCTGCATCGCAACACGCGCCTGGTGGCTCCCGGAGCCAAGATGGAGTGGCAGGAATCCGACGGCACGCACTCCGAACCTTTGAAAAGCGATTGCATGTATGTTGGAGACATTACGGACATACAGGGAGCCTCCGTAGCTATTAGTAACTGCGACGGCCTGGTAAGTGGCCATTTTGGCCTTCATGTTGTGTGGTGTCCAGTATGTCCGCTTAATTCACACAAACCCTTCACTAATATAATCAATATGATATCACTGAGATCAAACTTGAATGAAAAAGAAGAGTTTAATCCTGCCTATATTCAATCAGCAAGCAAACTGGGTGTTTTATCTGGGTTATCACGTACATATAGATTTCTTGTGCATAGGTATTTTAAGGTGCTCTTAAATTGTTTACTTTGTGTATAGGAATACATACTAGATTCAACGTTAAAGGAGCAGTTCACCCAATAATTAAAATTTGCTGAATATTTACTCACCCTTATTAAATTCAATGTGTAGATCAGTTCATCAGAACCAGTGGATCCTCTGCAGTGAATGGGTGCCATGAGAATGAGAGTCCAAACTGCTGATAAAACATCACAATAATCCACAAGTAATCCACAGTCCCTCAATTAATGTTTTGAGAAGTGAAAACTGCATATTTGTAACAAACAAATCCATCAAGAACTTTTTAACTCCAAACCAACTTCAAGGTCACCTATTCATAATATTGCTTCAAAAGTTGTCTTGTCTGAATCAGGAGAGAAATATGCACAGATCAAATCAGATCAGATCAGATCTAAATAAATATTGTAATGTTTTTATCAGCTGTTTGGACTGGCATCAGTTCACTGCAGAGGATCCATTGGTGAGCAAGTGATGTACAATAATACTAAATTTCTCCAAATCTGTTCCAATGAAAAAACAAACTCATGTACATCTTGTATGTCCTGAGGGTGAGTACATTTTCAGCAAATTTTCATTTCTTGGTGAACTGTTCCTATAAGGACATGACCCTGTAATGAGGATCCTGCTAAGGTCCTTTAAGGTGTAGCCTAAATTTTGTATTTTGCCTTTTACAGTATTTACAGTAAGCCATGGAGCTACCTAAAACTATCTGTCTCTTTATTTCAAATATTGAAATGTTGTCTTAGTTCATGCAGTAGTCATAGATTTTGTGAGTATCCAGGGGTATTCCTAATACAAACTGAAAGGCAAATAAATAGCTGAGCGGTAGAGTGTGCTTTGTGACTTCTTGTGTGTATGTGTTTATGGCAGCGACAGATGTGAGGATTGGAGCAGAGGACTCTTGTTAATTACTGGATTTTTTTTTCTTTACTCAAATAAAACTATAATTGTAAACGGGCCCAGATGAGAAGCTCAGAAAGTCTGTCAGAGATCATGAGATCCATACGAACCCTGTGGCTGACATCTTTATACAACAAGAAAGAGAGTAAGAAAATAAATAGAGCAAGGAAACTTCATAAACAGGTTAAACTAAGAGGTCAAATAAATGATGTAGACATCAAGTACAGTTCCAGTGAGGGCTGTACTGTCTGCTCTGTTGGTTTCGTAGACACATCATAGCCCTTGTGGAAAAAAATGCACTACATTCTATTGAGTGTATACTTAAAATCCTAAAGTAATGTATTTTCAGGTAATAT